CACAATGTGCTGTGGATGTCATCCTGTATAAGACTTTCTGTATGGGTGACTTGGCGGTGTCGCAAAATGTGCACTGTTGCCATATTTAGCCTATAGCACGACATGCAGACATTCACAAATTTTTGCTATCCAAAAAATTTTACTAAAATATTTTTCCTTGACATCAAAAAATAAAATAAAGGCTCGGATAGATTTAATTTGAGAATGAATAATAAAATGATTGTATATTTTGTGTATGACAACTAAAATGGGATATTTCAAGTTATTTAAAAACTGATTGTTTTTTGTTTTATTTCTGTGATGTTGAGTTTTTAGGATAATTGTTTTTAAAATGTAAAAAATGAACGAAAAATTTGATATTGCCATTTTGGGGTTAATTATTTGTTTCGGTTTTTTAATTAAAATGTATGTAAACGAAAAATTCATTTGCTTGAATATTTTTTAATAATTAGTTCCTAATATGTGTGGTAAAATAGCAATATGTAAAAAGTGTATAAAATAATGAGAAAATATTTCCACTATTTTATAATATATGGGTGAATCTATAGAGATGTCCCCCGAGTGAAATTGATTATTTTTTATTCTTGGTTTTAAGAAATCATACATTTGGAATATTGGAGCTTCTCGGAAGATAGTTTCACGGAGGTTAGGATTTCGTATATTTTTTGTATATATATATATATGAAATAAGTTATTGTATCTTTTGACACCTTAATATTTAAAAAAAATACATACATACATACATAAAATATTTATTAAAAAAATCTACTTACACTTCACGGTGGATAGGTTTTTAAATAGCAAATTAATGAACTTAAACTTTTGAATTATAAAACAGCAACACTCTCATCTGCATATAAATTCTAACTGACCTTCAGTAATCACATGCATCTATAATGTCGTAAACAGAGGTTTTTGCTTATTTAAAGTGATTAAAGCCCCATCCGCTGCATAAAATTTAAAGCTAAAACAGATTCACGGAGGATAGAATCAATTTTTGTAACACCTACATAAATGGTTATAAAAATTATTTTTTTTAATTTTTAATAATATTTTATATTTGATTCGTTTGCTTTGGATGTGTTTAATTTACTTAGTGAACTGATATTTTAGTGAGCTTTTACTACCTCACATATTTGAAGACATATAGGTTAACCAAAAAAGAGTAACAGTCACGGAGGATAGGTTTTAGACTTTTAAAACATTGTAAAAAATAACTAATTGCGGTTAAAAATGTGGAATTATAAAATATCAAAACACAATAAAAGTGTACGTCAAACTCATTTAGTTTTATTAAATATTATGGAGGGCATTTCGTGAGATTCACCCATATATTAATAATAGTCATATGTTATAAAATTTATATTTTTCACAACAATGCATTTTAATTTTTAAAATTAATTTTGGAAAATGATAAATTATTGTCAAATTCATCTATTTAAAAATCTAATTTAGGCAACTTGTATATGTACATTTTGTGTAAATATTGCCATAAAACAAACATAATATTATATACTTAGTAAAATAATTTACTAATATGGGGTGTAGAAATAAAGAAGAAATAAAATGTAATAGGTAAACATTGTACAGTCTCAGTGAACAATTTTATACCTTTCCCAACTGTCAAAACAAGTCGCGTTATATACAGGGAGCGAAAGTATGGCTAAAAACAGTAATAATCAATCAAAAACAAAAAACTTCAAACGAATTAATAATAATCATTGTGCCACATAAGGGCCAGTCCATAAAGTCTTCAATTCTAAAAAATGCAAGGGAGATGAAATTTAACTAAAACTCCAGCTTAAAAATTTTGATGGGGGTAGGAACCTACCCCGGTAGTCCTATATGGGGCCCGGTAGTCCTATATGGGGCCCAATATTTTACCTGTGGCCAATATTGGATTTATTTAGCCAATGTTAGCCCTATATTGGCATAAAATGATAATTTAATATAATATTATCTTGCCAATATTTATCCAAGGTTGGTCCTATATTGGCATATTATTTTACGCCAATAAATCATTATCTATTGTCAACGATACTTTTGAATTTCTAAAAGTGATATGTAACCACACACGTTTGTTTCCAGGATATGTCTATACTACACTGTTTAAAATATCTGTGGTGTAAAAAATAATCTTAAAATGGTGTCAAAATCCAACACCAAGTGGTGTTAATATAAACACAATGAATTATGGTTAAAAATGTTATATACAGCAAACACCAAAACGGTGTTTATCTAAAAATATTTGAGAAGTGCACCTACACAGAAAAAAAGGAATAGTTCATTTAACTATATTAATTTAGTGGACCCATAAGTATTTATTTAAATCAACTGTGTGAAGGTTAATATAAACAAAGATTAGTTTGACGGTACTAAACCAGATGGTTATTTTTTTTTAATTGGTTAAATTAACCCAGAAAACGTTAGTGAAACCAACCCGCTGTATAGTTCAGTTTACTAAATATGTTGTTTGTAAAATAAGAGTTACTTCAACCTTAAGCACTCTGTTAAAACGATTAAAACAATTTGCCGTGCATTCCTGGTTGCATAGTGTGTACCGATCGCGGCAAAGGCGGTGTGGATCACGTGATGTTCTTAAATCTCGCCTCTGTTGACTTACATGAAGAGTATATAAGCTCGGGTAGTCCTTTGCTTTGGTGTGATACTACAAGTTGTTCGATACTAAAGAGACCTTAAATAGGTGGAAACAGATAATACTTTGGTGGAACGCACATTATCTCTAGCGAGTTGAAGGTTCAATTTTCTGGAATAATACCACTGGTAATATACTAGTAATACGTCAAGGAACTTCCTGTTTCCTTTTTTTTTCCTTTTTTTCTGTGTAGTATGATTTAATTTGACCAAAAACACATAATATTTAACACACAATTTACACCAGGTAAAATTTATTTTAATACTGTGTAAAAGTAAAATATTTAACACCATTTTGGTTTGTATCGATATAGACCATGTATGGTGTTAATTTGGTGTTAAAATGGTCATGAAATTTTGAACAGTGTAGTGGGCGGAACGGTTTTAAGTTGGGGGGTGCGCAACCTACTACCATCCTTGTTTAGCACAAAATGGGTGAAAATAACAAAGACCATTCTTGCATATTACCGTAAGAATAACAAGGGTAATATGCGATTTCTTTTCTTATTAGCAATAAAATTCGTTATTACGTTAATAAAGCTCAAGCTGATCATTTTAGCACACGATACAAACGATTTTAGCATTTCATCGTAATTAAGAATAACATAGACGGTATACGTCTTATTGGTAGATTTTTTCAAAGAATTTGGAGGGTACATTTCATATCAAGTAGCCCCCCTCTCCCCCTTATAATTTGGGTGGGCATTGTCACCCCTCCCCGCTTCTACGCCCCACAGTGTTTCAATTCTGGAAAATATCGGCAAAACCTCAAAAATTGACATTTTTTTTCAGGTAAATTTTGAGTTAGATGGGTAGTTAATACCTGTCTCCATCCTGTATTGAAAAAAAATTATATAAAATACGTATATTTTGTCTTGTACATCAGTTTAAACTTGACGGTTTCAGTTGAAGGTACTTTACACGCGATCGCTGCGGAAAATTGTTTATTGTTTAAAAGTGAATAACTTGTGTTTGGTGTGTCCGATTGTTAGGCGGTTTGATGGGTGATCTTAAGTATCTTAAGGTATCTAAAATTCAGATATGTAGGTATTTGTTTTTTGTAGATTTTTCTTGTACAACGGGTTATTGTAACCGACAAGATCGGTCTCTTAAAATTGCAAACTTTGAATCAAGCTTTTAGAACAATGGAGCTACAAAAATTGTAATGAATTGTAAGGCATCTGTTCAAGATCCGTTGAATAGCTTAGAGTTTTGTCCATCAAGCCATCAATAAATTATCTGCCCCAACTTGCCCCCGGCTCTTTAAAACTACATGTTCTTGGGCGCTCAGGCACGGTTGTGGTAAAAAACCTCGCGATTTTATGCCTATGTCGAGCGCGTATCTGTGTTTTTGCTTTTCAAAATATAAGATTTTTTTTTATTTCTGGGTTGCGTTCATGACGTTTACTCGATTCACTCGGATTTAACTCAAAACGTTTATTACAACAGCGGTGTCTAGACTTTCACTTATTTAACCCACCTCTTATAGGTGCGTTAAAACAACTCCGCATGCGCATTGTAGTGTGTTAATGTCAAATTTGAATTGTGGTTATTTGTGTTGACAATTTTTTTAGCGAATTAAGAAATCGTTGTAAAATATTACGATGGAAGATATTTTCCATTGGCTTATGGCATCTTCCGATGCATATATTTCTAGCTTCAGAAAAATTGCTCCGAAAAAGAGCAAATCTTTGTCCCGCGAAGCAATAAAACTGTTGCTATCTTCTGATGGTTTTCCATGCTCTGCTAATGATACAACGAGCGAATCCAGTGACGGAGATTGTTTAATATATGTAGGTATTAAATAATATCATATAAATGTAATTATAATAAACTAAATTAAGCTATTTTATAAAAAGATGTTTTAATACATTTTAAAAAGAACCTCATACGGGTTTTTAATTAAGTTGAAATTTTAATTTTGGAATTCGTTATCAGCGACCCCAAAAATCTGTATATAGAGGTTTTTGGGGTCGCTACTCCTTGATATTTTGCCGAAAATTTCGAGAATTGAAACACTAAGTACCTACTATAAACATTTCCTGAAAACAAACGTTTCAATTTCTACCTCAACTTTCCTAGAATCTAATGTAAAACAACTTAGGGCCAATGTGGAATTCCAATATTGGACTATGCTAGAAAAAATCTGACGAAAGATATATTGGCCCAATATTGGGAATATTGGGCTAATATCTTTGTGCTACTGGGGTACAGTTAAAAACGTAAAAAATATACATCTCAATTTTGTTAGTATGCAAGGTGTTTTAGCTAAACTTTTGACTGCATTTTTTCGAATGGAAGACTAAATTTCGTGGCCCAATTGGTGACACTTTTATTTCCCGAACCTTGAACCCATCGTAGGTCCAGCTGCCCAGCTTCAAAACGCAAGTTTGCACGTCGTAGGGAAAAAACTCCACGTCTATCGAGCAAGAGGATTTATAGACGGCCGGAGGTTGCCACACCACCAAACCGTTGTAGTAGACCGTGGCCTTGGTCATCAAGGTCACCTCGTAGTTGCCGTCGGCGCTGCAAACAAGCGAAAACCACCATGACAGACAGACTTGGCACCTATCGACTTTTAGACACTGATTTAAACGGTGATCAATACGCTTGGAGATGAGGTACATTTCTCGGCGGTTGGGCTCCTCCCGAAACGCAGTTGCTTTGTAGAAGTTGTGGCGGTTCATGCTTTGGGTAGTGGCAAGGTTTTGCTTGATTTTTTGAGATTTTTGTTTGATTTATATAATTTTGGCCAAAATAAACTGCGCACCACTCAATGTGTCGCGACCAAAAAGTTCGTCCTTTTTTAAAACGACATAACTTTTTTGTTTCTTGAACGATTTTATTTTGGTCTGTGATGTCTGCTAGCCCCATCCTCTGGCAATTCATGCTATAGATATGAAGCTCGCGGTTCTTCAAGTAAATTTTCTACAGGGTGATATGTTAAACGGTGAAAAATTTGAATAATTTCATACAAGCCCCGTTTGAAAGAAATATTTTTTCTCGTTTTTGCTTTGAAATAATGAAGTATTATGTCTTACCTTGAAACGGTTTTAAAATTTTTCAAATTGGAATCTTAGCAACGAAAATATAATTGTTTTTTTCAAAAGAGTAGATTTAGGGCTTTTTGGTAGACAATACACTCAGTCTTTTTACGAACAAAAAGATAAGATGGTGAAAGATTGTTCCTTGAATAATTCTGAACAAGCGACAAGCAACAAATTTCCATTATTTTCAGAGGGGCCTACCTAAGCAACGACCACTTTTTCAAAATGACATTTTGGTGAAAATTTGCGAAAACTAAACCTGAACCGATATTTACTTTCGTGACATGTTTTCTTTATAACTTTGACCTCCTGATTTTGATTCAGTTGTCAAATTTAAGTTTCAGATAAAACCAAAATCACCAAGAATCAAAATTCGAAAACAATTCCCTGCTGTTAAATGTCTTAATAAAAACAGATTGCTGGCGTGTTTCTTGCATATTTATGATTAAAATGCCATTTGGGGATTCATTTTTTGGGCCAAATTACTGCAATTTATTTGAGTGGTTGGGATAATATTACATAACTTACATAACCTAATTGTTAATAAAGTTAAATAAAAATATTTTTGTTAATTTTTTAAAATTTTATGCGAAGTTATAATTATAATCAAAACAGAAAAATGTAACAAACAATAACAATAATAACTTTCAATCTTCTGCGAACCGTTGATTTGGAGATGTTAATTCCCGTAGCTGCAGCAAAGTCTGGCATTGGAATTTTAATCATTTAAACTTTAAAATTAACGGTAAATTTTAAAGAAAGAATGGAAGTAACCTGGGTAAGATAGGGATAGGTATGTAGGTAGGAAGGTATAACTTATGCAAAAAACTTCGAAATTTGTAAAAACACAAGCAAACTGAAAAAATCAAGAATATCCCTCATAATGCGTTTTGAATGTTTTTCAAGAACTAATTTTCATCATTTGATCCTCGATTTGATCATTCAACGACATGATAATAACGTACTAAAGATGCAAAACACAGTAAAAAACAGTAAAAACCAGCAATCGTATTTTATTGAGACATTTAACAGCCCGGAATTGTTTTCGAAATTTGATTCTTGGTGATTTTGGTTTTATCTGAAACTTACATTTGACAACTGAATCACAATCAGGAGGTCAAAATTATGAAGAAAACATGTCACGAACGTAAATATAACGTTTAGGTTTAGTTTTAGAAATTTTTTACCAAAATGTTATTTTGAAAAAGTGTTATTTGCTTAGGCCCTCTAAAAATAATGGAAGTTTGTTGTTTGTCGCTTGTTCAGAATTATTTAAGAAACAATCTTCCACCATCTTATCTTCTTATTCCTAAAAAAACTGAGTTTATTGCCTTCAAAAAACCCTTTCCAATTCAAAAAATTTGAAACATGTTTCAAAGAAAAAACGAAAAAAATTTTTTTTTACAAACGGGGTTTAGATGAAGTTATTTAAATTTTTCACCGTTTAACATATCACCCTGTAGGAAATTTTCTTGAAGAACCGTGAGCTTCATATTTATAGCATGAATTGCCAGAGGATGAGGCTAGCAAACATCACAGACTAAAATAAAATCGTTCAAGAAACAAAAAAGTTATGTCGTTTTGAAAAAGGACGAACTTTTTGGTCGCGACACATTGAGTGGTGCGCAGTTTACATTAAAAAAAATAGTGGCACAGAATTTACATTTCATTTTTACCAATTTGTAAATCAGCGTCGTTTTATTTTTTATTCAAGAATTCATTTTATGTGTTAACCCTAGAGTGTTATTTTCAATAACATAGATAAGAATATCACATAAGAATTTTCATTCTTCTCGGAAACCGATGAAAATTGCGTTCCTGAGGATATCCTTACGGAAGCGGAAGAAGCAGCGATGCAGATTTTGCCAGAAAAGTCCAGAGATGCTTACGACAAAATGTTTGAGTCTTGGATGAATTCACGGAAGATAAAAGGTATCGATGAAAATGTTCTACTGGCTTATTTATTACATTTGCAAAAAAATTAACCCCATCGTCGCTATGGACCAAATACTCGATGCTCCTCTCGACTATTCACCTTTATAAAAAAATCGACATTTCAAAATATGGCAAACTAAGAAGTCCAAGAAATTAGAACGACCTGAAATAGAGTTTTTGAAAGACGAGTACCTGTTGATGAAAGTGGCTTTGATAATGGGTCAATTTGAAAATAGAAAATATTCAAGACAAAGGAAAATATTTTCACGTAGTTTTGCCAGACACTAAAACCAAGAAATTGAGAAGTTTCACCATACTTGATTTCCAGTCAACCTGATCAATTTGTGTAAAAAATACATATCTTTGAGACCAAAGAATACTAGTTCTAGCCGCTTTTTTGTTTTGTACAAAAATGGTAGGTGTACCAGCCAGTGTGTGGGAATAAATTCGTTGTCGAAGATACCTTTAAGAATTGCAATGTTTTTGAAATTGGAGGAACCAGCGCTCTACACCGGTCACTGCCTGAGAAGGTCTTCGGCGACTCTTTTGGCCAATGCAGGGGCTAACATGACTACTTTGAAGCGTCACGGAGGATGGAAGTCCTCGACGGTAGCAGAAGGAAACCTAGAAGAATCTGTGCATAACAAAATATAAATTGCAGAAGAAATACAAGGTTCTAATGCGTCGGCGTCTTCCAGCACTATCGTCAGCTGTACCGATATGGGAGCGTCTGGTTCCAATGAACCAACCAATTTTACAATGACTTCCTTTAATTTCAATATCAAAGTGAATTGCTTGTAATAGTAATATATAAATAGAAATTGAAAATATGATTTAAAGGTAACACATAAGAATATTTCCTGAATAAAAAGTAAGTAAAAACTGTCGTAAAAGTTTGACATACATTTTGCACCTTAAAATAAACAACGCGGACTAAAAAGAAACTTCTAAATCCAACAAATTCACAAACTGAAACTTTTAAATTTTACGGTCGAAAAGCAAAACTGCAAATGTCTCTATCCGCTGCATGGTCAATTCAATTTAAAAGGTAAGTACACAACAAGTTTAAGACATGATTTTTTATATTTTTTGTGTTGAAAAAATTATGTCTTTTACACAATACTCAATCATATCAAATCATTCGTTCACTTGGTGATGGGTTTTAGCCAACCCAACCCTTACCTTGAAACCATCGTAGGTCCAGCTTCCAAATTTCAGTACGCAGGTTTGCTCATCAAACGGAAAATATTCAACATCGATTTCGCACGACGATTTGTATATGGCAGGCGGCTTCCACTCCACCAAGCCTTGGTGATAGATGGTGGCCTTGGTTGCCAAGGTCACTTCGAAATTCCCATCCGCGCTGTAAACTCACAGGCTACTACTCAGGCACACGAGTTTTTTTTACTCAATCATACTTCGGAAATTAGTTGCAACTTATAAGAGAATTGCTTGGAAAAATCTTTGATGTATGCTTTTTTAAATCAGCGACTTGAAAAATCAAATCAATACTACACCTTTTCCAGTTGATATTCAGAATTGATTTTCAGATATTGCAAATGATATTCAGACAGTAGCAATTGATATTCAGAAATTACAAATAGTATTCAGAATTCAGAAATTAACAAATGATAACATTTTCAAACTTCATTTTACTTATTTTCTAAAATCTCAATTTAATGTATTTCTTTGTATATTGCTTTGTTTCCATTGAATTGAGATATTAAATCAAATTTATCAAACAAATTTATCACCATTTAAGTAGGTATATTTGTCATAATTGTCAACTTATTGCAAGTAAGGACCGAATTTTGTTCATTTGTACTTTTTATAAATTTCATTTACTTAGTTAATAAAGATAACGTGTACTTTCATTCATCATCGATTTTCTGTATGCATCCACTGTTCCTGAAACAATTGCTGCGGCTAAATTACATTTGATTTAATCTGAATCTTCTGAATTACAATTGCAAGTTTCTGAAAATCAATTGTGTTTTCTGAATTACAATTGCTACTTTCTTAAAATCAATTGTGTTATCTGAATTACATATGCTACTCTCTTAAAATCAATTGGAATAGCTGAATTACAATTCCTACTATCTGAATATCAACTGGAATAACTGAATTACAATTCCTACTTTCTGAATATCAACTAGAAAAGGTGTAGTAATAATACTTGAAAAATTAAACTAATAAATTTATATTACAAAAAGTTGATAGTAAATGGATTAAACCTGTTGTATCTCTCAAAGATTTTTCCTGTAATAAAGCAACAATAATAAACCGTCCAAATAAATTACACACTACGCTGTATTGTAGAACTACTACAAAAAGGAGAGAAATGTAGAGATAACAGAGATAATAGCTAAAAGTAAGTATACAGGCACTCAGTCAAAAACTTACAAATAAAATAAAGTGAAATAATTACTGCGGTAATAAAAAATAAAATAAAACTTTATGGGCGTTTCGTGTCAATTACACTTCGAGAAAAAACTTTTATTATTATGCCTTCCAATTTCTTTCCATATAATGGATGTAAACCATACTTTTTTGTATTAAAGAAGACATTAACTTTAAATCTGGGAATATTATATTTATATATACATTATATAATCCATTTAAGTCTATTTTTCGAAAATATTTTGAACAAAATGCTACTTCCGGTTTAGCCGGAAGTATACCACTCCCGGTTTAACCGGAAGTATGTTACGTCCGGTTTAGCCGGAAGTATGCATCTTCTTAAAGTTAATAATTTCATGGATATTTAACAATTTCATTTGTTAATTTTTTTGTTTAGGAAATTGATTAATAAGGCAACATTTCTTATCAAAATTCAAAAATCTGGTTAATATGTATTTGGTTAAAATTAAAAAATATTTTTTACTGTGTAGCGGGGTGTAAAACTCGTTGTAACGTTGATGCGAGTGCAATGCTGACAATTTCACCTGGAGCAATCCGCCGTTTCTGAAAACAAGGTCAATTTTCTTTTTGCACAATAAGAAACAGAAAACGATAAACCGGCGGAGAGATGACCCGAGTTTTAAAACAATTTGGTAATTAAACAGGGCCCCGGAGCAGGTTTTCCGTGTTCTAACTAAGTGTATAATGGTAAATGTAATAAAGTTCTTTTCTGGAAGTTTTATTTAAACTGCCAGGTCGTCTTTAATATGAGATAAAAAAGAACATCCGAGTTTTTCATCATACAAAAAAATAAAAAGGGAATCAAATGTTAAAAAAATAAAACACTAGTTTAAGATTAATTGACAATTAATTTTTTTTGACTGCCAATTCGTCTTTAAAGTTTTAATCTTATAAAGGGTGGGTATTTCTGTTGAAAGTATTTTATTACACGTGAGACACAATGGTCTTGGGGGACCTTTCAGAATTTAAATTTGGGATTTGAGCTAGCTAAACTTTAAACGAAATACTGGAGATTTATTATCGGAAAATCTGGAGAAAGGTTCGAAGATTTACATTTCAATTTTGGTGTTTGTAATTTTGGGCAATTTTCGGATATCTTTTTGACTGACGGCAAAAGTTTGGAACAAATTCATTAAAAAAGTCGGCTTTTTGATGAACAATTTTTATATTTACGCCTTTTTTTAGATTTCAATAGATTATGAAATTTTGATTCGATTTTAAATGAAGCAGCAATGTTGAGCTTTTATAAAAATAATGTTCATCCAACAAAGTAATAGTTATCATATTGTCATGGCAATAAGAAATACTTAATGTTTATATTAAATCTTTGTCGAACTAAAAATGTTTTTGTTACATCCATAGTTGCGTGTGAATAGCGCTTACATAAAGTAATGCGCAGTTGAAATAGTAAAATTTGTTCATTTTACTAAGGAATTACTATCGTAATTCAAATTAATTTTATTTCAGTTAGAAAATCTTTGTCAATAGCTTACTTTAAGAACAATAACAAAAATATTATATTGCTCTAAAAAGACTTTTTTAATATTTACTATTGTTTTCCAATGGTAACAAAATTTTTGTTATTTCCCTTAAAAAGGGCCAGCGCTCTCCTTGGTGAACATAACTTTATAATCCAAAGTCTGTGTTATAATCTTATTGATTACACTTGTGCGAGTGAAGTGTGGTAAAATCTAGCTTAATAAAAATATCAAAAAGATCACTATGAAAATGATAATTTCAACGTTTTCTAAAAGAAACATTTAAGGTCTATTCTATAAACTAAGCCGACTTGTTGTTTAAAAAGTGAGTTCATATTTTTTTATTTTGTACATCATATAATATGAGTTAATTTTTTTGTTATAATAAATAATTTGTTTTAATGCCTTGCAATTATTAAAAAAAAAACTACCCAACACCCAACAGTAGGTTGAAAATGTGACCATTGTTACAATGAAAATAGTTTATTGAATTAACAATTAATTTTTTGTTAAATTTACATATATTTCATTAATATTATAAAAAAAGTTTTATTTTAAACGAAAAGAAATTTGTAAAATTTACAAAATCTCTATGGATAATAACATTAGGATTTCATTAATACTACAAAACGTTTTTGTAAACGGTATAGTACTGGTTTTTTGGACAAATAATAACTATATTTATGAATGCGTTTCTGCATCTGGAGTGTTATTTTTATAAACATAACGTAAATTTACTTTATGCAAATGCAAATGTTATTACTGAAAAATGATCTTTTACCGTAACAAAAGCAATTGTTGGACGAATCTTTACTTTATTAAGACAAACTACTTTTTTTGTTATATTTATTAAAGTTTGAACAAAAAAACAAATCAGTGTCCGTTTATCTTCCATTAGGCAGGTTTACACTTAATATCCTTCTCTAATAATTATAATCAACTTCTTCAGTGGAAAGATCAAGTTTAAATGCACAAAATCTTAAAACTTTTGTTGTACTCTTTTAAGTTTGTTTATATGATATCAATAATTTGTTGACCATACAATACTGAAATAGTCTAAAATACCTCGAACAGAAGAAACATTTTTAATACTTTTTTAGCTTTCTTAGTTGATATATCTATATGTTCACTAAAAGTTATTTTCGAATCAAAGTAGACCCCTAAATCTTTGAATATTTTAACATTTTCTTATAAACTATTATTAACTGTGTATGGGTAAATAAAAGGATTTCACACTCTGTGAAAATTAATAACTTTACATTTACTAACATTTAAAGACATATAATTTCTTTTACAACAATTTTCCTGACAATAAATATCTGCCTGAATATATTTACAATCATCAATGGAACAAACTTCTTTAATAGGGTTTTGATAAAATTAAAAAGTGTTTATAAAAAAAAGTTGATAAACTTTCTCAAAATATTTGATGTCAAGGTCAAACCTTTTCAGTTTATTATTGTTTTATCGCTCAGAAATTTGTTTAATAAATATAACAAAAAAATACTTTTGTTACAGCAAAAAGATCATTTTTATAAAAATTATTTATCTACAAACGCTGCTTTCAGTAATAGCATTTGCATTAATTATAATTATTAATTGTTTATAAAAATAACACTCTTCCAGATGCAGAAACGCATTGATAAATATAGTTATTATTATTTGTCCAAAAAACAGTTCTATACCGTTTACAAAAACGTTTTGTAGTATTAGAATAGAATAGAATAGTTTATTAGTGTTAAAATACAATTAAGTATATACACACGTCAGAAAATACAATTAATTAAAATAAGAACAAAAAGAATTGTCTAAAAATTTGATCAATACAATTAAATAAAAGAGAACAAGAACATTTGTAAAAAGAATTCGGTAAATACAATTAAATTAAAAGAGAATCACACAGGAGATATTCCTCAAATGAATAGAATGCTTTTTTTATTAAAAAAAATCTTAAATAGTTTTTTAAATGAGTTAATTTCCATGACTCATTTCATAAGGTAGTACGTTAAAAAATTTTACCCTAATGGTATTATTCATAGAAATTTTGTAAATTTTCCAAATCCCTTTTCGTTTAAAATAAAACTTTTCTTATAATATTAATAAAATTTATGTAAATTTAACATCAAATTAATTGTTAATTCAATAAACTATTTTCATTGCAATAATGGTCACATTTTCAACCTACTGTTGGGTGTTGGGTAGTTTTTTTTTAATAATTGCAAGGCATTAAAACAAATTATTTATTATAACAAAAAAATTAACTCTAGCTTATATGACGTACAAAATAAAAAAAAATATGAACTCACTTTTTAAACAACAAGTCTGCTTCGTTTATAGAATAGACCTTAAATATTTCTTTTAGAGAACGTCTAAATTTTAATTTTCTTAGTGATCTTTTTGATATTTTTATCATGCTAGATTTTACCACACTTCACTCGCACAAGTGGAATTAATAAGATTATAACACAGAATGTGGATTATAAAGTTATGTTCACCAAAGAGAGCGCTAGCCCTTTCCCCCTCTTTTTAAAGGAAATAACAAACATTTTGTTACCATTTAAAAAAACCTTTTAAGTTTGACAAAGTATTTCTTATTGCCATGACAATATGATAACAACTATTATTTTGTTGGATGAACATTTTTTTTATTAAGCTCAACATTGCTGCTTCATTAAAGTAAATGGGAATTTTATTAACAGTATACTCTTTATAAAAAAAGTTTATTCTGCAAATAAAAATAATCTAATTTCTTTGACAAATCGTAGGTTTTTGTCCCAATAAGACACTGAAAATTTAATAAAAAAGGTACCTTAGGTGGTACATTTTTTATAGCCATTACAATTTTAAATTTAAGTTAAATAATATTATTTTTTTAATCGCTAACAAAATTAGTTTCATTATCAGTGCATGTACATTTTTCTGAGTGTTGTTAGACATAATTTTTTTACAGTTTGACATAATTTAACATGTTACAATTAATGGCATAGAAAAGTTGCAAAAGTACATAAAAATGTTTGAAAATGCAGTAAAACTTGGATACATATTTCAAGGGTAATATATCTTAAGCCATGACTCTCGCTAAACTTATTTAATGCTTTGTGAAAGATAAATGTCGAGCTTTTATTTTACGAAACACAACCGTTTAACAGATATTTCTTCGGCGTACCTACATTAATGAGCGTATTCTTTGTCAAAGATAAATGTTGACAATGCCGTTTTATCACTTTGTGCCGTTTTCAAGAATATTATTACAAATTTTACCCTGTTACTTCGTTTTATGCGGATATTACCCGTTTCATTACAATTTACCCCAGCAAATATTGAACAACTCAATTTCCTTTAATTTTGTTGAAATAATGGTAAATTTAATATATTTTTCCTACTCCTAACTTTAAATCGTACATTTTTCCATGACACTAAGAGACCTTTTAAATACACATTGTCAAGTTGTGGCTTTATGGCGCTTTAGTCACGGGCTGAAGTTAGCAACAGGTTTTTAGTCACGGGCTGAAGTTAGTTTTAAGTTATTTGACAGTTGTCAAATGTCATACAATCGTTAAAATAAATTGCCTTTCTTGTAAAATAATACTAAATTTGCAACGTTGCCGCAGTCCAGATAAAAAAATGAACTTTAGTACATTGCACTTTGACGTGGCAAATAATGTTGCAATATACAGTTTTGGCCTTTAAATGGTTTTCATAGTAATTTTAACATATTGATTTTGTAAATTATTATATTACGTGTACACCACATAATGTTTATTGACCTACATATTAATTATATTGCAAATTTACTGCGGCATTAGGTTTATCGAGTTTATCAGAAAATATTTTATGTAGTTTTTTATGGGAATATTTAATAAAGTCAGTAAAAAGTTATTTAACTCTACCTTATTTTTACATTTAAATATTTTTAACAATTTAAACAAACTAATGAAGTTATGAACACAATCCACACAACAAGGTCTATTCTATCTTGTACTAAAAATACAAAAAATCACTGCAACACTGCACAGTTTAACGGCGGCCATTTTTGTTGTTTACAATTTTTGTGCTTTGGGTTTGTGCTCTGTTTATACAGATTAATAATCTTTTTAAACGTTGTGTTTCTCATAGTAAGCCTTAAAAGAGTCCTTAAAGTGCTAAGAACAACCATTTTACTCCTCTATTGTAAAAAATAAACTTTATTCTATCAGGGCTGTCATAAAACTGTCAAATGTCAATTTTAAGGTTAAATTATACCCACAAATTAACCTTCAAATCGTCATTTGAAAGCCCTGATAGAATAAGGTATATTTATTATAAAAGAGGAGTACAATGGTTGTCCTTAGCACTTAAAGGCCTTATTTGAGGTTTACAAGTGCCTCTGTAAGAAACACAACGTTTAAAACAATTATTAAACAGCACAAACCCAAAGCACAAGAATTGTAAACAACAAAAATGGCCGCCGTTAAACTCTGTGCAGTGTTGCAGTGATTTTTAGTATTTTTAGCATGAGAACAGGCCTTGTTGTGTGGATTGTGATTTCCCCTTTTTTTTTAAATTTCAAAAATTTTTGATCTGCTTAGCTAAAAATTATGTGTGATTTCATATTGGTAAAACCAAAAACGTTACTTTTTTATTAAAAATGCCCATAAGGCAAAAGTTACTTTACAATACGCTAAAGAAATATTGGGTTTTCGCAACGCGCGCGCCATCTGGTGGACTTCAAAAGCATTGCGTGAATTTAGGAATTGTCAACAATACATTTAAAGCACAGATTATACATCATTTTTAAATAAATAGGTAGTTTTTTCACAAAAGAGAGGAAGGCAGAAGTCTTACTTGACAAATTTTGTTCAATTGCACAGCTAAATCGCGCATTTGTGTTTTACGTTGCAAGGAAAAAACTAAAAAACTCTTTTAGTACTCGATTTCGATTAATTATTCTTTATATCATTGATTAAGAAACTCAACGCTTATATGCTTATATAGTTACGTTAGTGTGTGTATTTTATCTAAGGGATCATGGCGAATTTTTGTGTTCTAATTGTAAATAAAATTCAAGAACTAAATCGTTGCATTTTCATGTTTTGCCAAAGGATCCAATTCGGCATGTATACATTTGTTGGTGCAGAATTAACTAATGATAACTTTACCTAATATAATTTATATTTAAGTTTGGATATTTTTAAGAAATTAGTAAAAAATAATTTTTGCACAAACATAACCTTAAAATCAACCATTTTTATATTTGAGTTCTCTAAAAAAACGCCGACATCTGCATTTTAAACAACAAAATATACCTACGAATTTAAGGCAACATAATACATAATATAATGGTATTTTACAGTTGAGAGGATACTTTAAAGAATTCTTAATCAACGCTTTTAATAATGCTAAATGCTGTTTAAATTTAGACGACTAATCGATACAATTTATATTTACAGAGACTGTATGCAATTTATTTCTTCATTCAGATTAACACTGTTTATTGGAAAACCGGTAAAAACTTCTTTCCTCTCGAAATACACCCAACAACACAACAAATCGTGCCACGGTTTTTTTTCGAAATTTTTTAACATTTTCCGGCTTTATTCTCAAAAATGTCGATTTCACATAAATTGCGACGAAAAGCGTATTTCAATGAAAAACTAAAATCTGGGTTAAACTTTCCGACCGCACTTGTACCTTTTATCGTCTAATGTAAACATCGCCCGGTAAAAACCGTGTCATGGGACCGAACGTCTGCGTTTTTGTTCGACCGTCCGAAAGCGTCCGCAAGATTAACGAGCTTTTAATGTTTCGACCTTAAAATAATGAACCAGTGCCTGCAGGAATGTCCTCAAAAATGTATCAACTTTCTTAAAAAGTCGACCTAAAGCAACTGAACGACAACGAATTCCCCAACATTGCTGAAGAGTTGAAATGTAAAAATGTAAGGTAAAGCTTTTTAAGAGTGCGCAGAGTCTTTTAAATTTAAAATTACGTTCCTGAGGATATCCTTACAATAGCGGGAGAAGCAGCGATGCAGATTTTGCCAGAAAAGTCCCGAGATGCTTACGACAAAGAGCTCAAAATGTTTGAGTCTTGGATGAATTCACGGAAGATAAAAGGTATCGATGAAAATGTTCTATTGGCTTATTCTTTACATTTGCAAAAAAAATTAGCCCCATCGTCGCTATGGACCAAATACTCGATGCTTCGCTCGACTATTCACCTTTATAAAAAAATCGACATTTCAAAATATGGCAAACTAACGAGCTTTTTGAAAAGCAAATCACAGGGATACAACCAAAGAAGTCCAAGACATTAGAACGACCGGAAATAGAGAAGTTTTTGAACGAAGCTCCCGACGACGAGTACCTGTTGATGAAAGTGGCTTTGATAATGGGGATTAGCGGTGCTTGTAGATGCGATGAATTGGTCAATTTGAAATTAGAAAATATTCAAGACACTAAAACCAAGAAATTGAGAAGTTTCACCATACTTGATTTCCAGTCAACCTGATCAATTTGTGTAAAAAATACATGTCTTTGAGACCAAAGAATACTAGTTCTAGCCGATTTTTGTTTTTTACAAAAATGGGAGGTGTACCAGCCAGTTTGTGGGAATAAATACGTTGTCGAAGATACCTTCAAGAATTGCAATGTTTTTGAAATTGGAGGAACCAGAGCTCTACACCGGTCACTGCCTGAGAAGGTCTTCGGCGACTCTTTTGGCCAATGCAGGGGCTAACATGACTATTTGAAGCGTCACGGAGGATGGAAGTCCTCGACGGTAGCAGAAGGATACCTAGAAGAATCGGTGCATAACAAAATACAAATTGCAGAAAATTACAAGGTTCTAATGAACTTCCAGCACTATCAGCAGCTGTACCAATATGGGAGCGTCTGGTTCCAATGAACCAACGAATTTTACAATGACTTCAAATTCGAATAAACCGTTAGCGTTTTTCTTTAATTTCAAAATCAATGTGAATTCTGAAATAGAATGACATTAATAATGTCATGTGTTGGATAAAAGTATTTACATTGCAAAAAAAATCATCACACTGTAAATACTGTGGTCACAAATTATGACTTTTTGGGGCCCAAAGAAATATTTTCATTGTTACTTTACGCCCGAAAATTCCTGCCTGTGATGTAATTTATGAATTAATACATAACGTTACATTCATATTTCCTTTTTAAAAGCATTTTACGTCCTGACGTAGCAGATCTTCAATAAATCTCTAAAGAAAGAAAATTTGTTATTTAATTTTTATTGCAGACTACATGTCAAGACTCTCTTTCACTTGACAGTATTTGAATGAAATTGGGAGGCAGCTGCAAGGAGTGCTTTTCCACTTGACAAACATGATTTTTATGTACTACTTTCAACGTCGTATTACAGTGACTTAGATTTCTACACTCACAGGCAAAATAATCGATCCACACAAATTTTCGGTGAATTTCAATCACAAATAACTTTTTTATTTGATGTCGGATTTAAACGAATATTAAAGAATATTGTAGATAAATTTATGAACAATCGCTCACATTTTAAAAAATTACTAAAAAATAGGTGTACGTTTATAATATACAGGTTTAAACAAAAAGATGTTTTTTACCATAAGTTTAAGACACTCTGTAGAGTGGCAAAACCGTATATTGTTCTAAATTAAGTTTTATTTATCAAGTCACATCTATTCTTAACAGTTTTGTTTTTGGTTCACCTCGATATATTTATTTTTGTGGAAAATATGGATTTTTTAAAAAAACATAGCATTTCCAATATTTTTCTGTATGAAGAACTAAGGTTGCTATGGTCCATCCATATGCTATGGAGAATGACAGTGACAGTTTTATTGAATCATTCCATACTTGGACATGTCATACACGGCTTTCAAAAGCTATCAAATTGTTTTTTGTAAATTAATGTTTAAATTTTGAGGTGTCATCTCACTTTAAAAAATGGATATGTCCCCGACTGATGTTGCCAGAGCCATTAATTTAATCCAGGATGGACGGTCACAGTATTACGTGGCAAGTGTTTTAAACGTCACAAGAAGTACAAAGGGCAACATCAGTCGGAGACATTTTTAAAAGTAAGAAGACACCTCAAAATTAACACATTAATTTACAAAAAAACAATTTGATAGCTTTTGAAAGCTGTATATGACATGTCCAAGTATGGGATGATTCAACAAAACTGTCACTGTCATCCTTCATAGGCTATGGATGAACCATAGCAACCTTAGTTCTTCATACAGGAAAAATATTGGAAATTGCAATGTTTTTTTAAAGAAATCCATATTTTCCACAAAAATAAATATATCAAGGTGAACCAAAAACAAAACTGTTAAAAATAGATGTGACTTGATAATTAAAACTTAATTTTGAACAATATACGTTTTTGCCACTCTACAGAGTGTCTTAAACTTATGGTAAAAAACATCTTTTTTTTTAAACCTGTATATTATAAACGTACATCTATTTTTTAGTAATTTTTTAAAATGTGAGCGATTGTCCATTAATTTATCTACAATATTCCTTAATATACGTTTAAATCCGACATCAAATAAAAAAGTTATTTGCGATTGAAATTCATCGATGTGGATCGATTATTTTACCTGTGAGTGTAGTTCAAAAGTAAACGTTTTAATAAAAAACTAAATCAAAAGCACCATAATTTCTTCACGATTCAAATGATACCGAAAACTCTTAATAAAATGTCTACTTGAATTTGGAAATTTTATCACTGTGCATTTTCTGCTACTATTATATTCTTGACTGACATAGAAACTTCAGTCTCCACTCCACTTTACTCTCATGTCTCTGAATTTTATTTTAATTTGTCAAAAAAAAAACATTTTCGAAAACCCTCACATGAATCTACTTCACTTTACCAAAACGAATAAAGTATAAAAAGACGGTCTACGAGTACAAGCTGTTCAGTTTTTAAAACAATTAATTTTTAAAGTCACATTAATTTAATTTCAGTTTTTAAATAATACATTTAAAGCATACGAACTGTACATCGTTTTTAAATAAATAGATAGTTTTTTCACAAAAGAGAGGAAGGCAGAAGTCTTACTAGACAAAATTTTTTCAATTGCACAGCTAAATCGCGCACGTTATTTGTGTTTTACGTTGCAAGGAAAAAACTAAAAAACTGGTTTAGTACTCGATTTCGATTGATTATTTTTTATATCATTGATTAAGAAACTCAACGCTTAAATGCTTATATAGTTACGTTAGTGTGTTTATTTTATCTAAGGGATCATGTTGAATTATTGTGTTTTTAATTGTAAATAAAATTCAAGAACTGAATCGTTGCATTTTCATGTTTTGCCAAAGGATCCAATTCGGTATGAACTTTTGTTGGTGCAGAAATTACCAATGATACTTTACCTAATATAATTTATATTTAAGTTTGGACATTTTTAAGAAATTAGTAAAAAATAATTTTTGCTCAAACATAACCTTAAAATCGACCATTTTTATATTTGAGTTCTCTAAAAAACGCCGACAACTGCATTTTAAACAACACAATATACCTACCAATTCAGGGCAACATAATATTATATATAATACATAATATAATGGTATTTTACCGTTGAGTTTAAAGAACTCTTAATCAACGTTTTTAATAATGCTAAATGCTGTTTGAATTTAGACGACTTATTTGTTTGACGATTTTTACTGAATTGAAATGTTTACAATTTTCACGTTAATCATTACTAAAATGTGTATTTATTGTATCTAATAGATACAATTTATATTTACAGGGACTGTATGAAATTTATTTATTCATTCGAATTAACACTGTTTATTGGAAAACCGTTAAATACTCAACCCAGGATTTCCTCTCGAAATACACCCAACAACACAACAAATCGTGCCACGGTTTTTTTTTCGATATTTTTTTAACATTTTCCGGCTTTATTCTCAAAAACACTCGTTTGGAACACACGCGTTTGAAAGCTGATTATCAAAAGTTGTGGTACTTGCGATACTTCTTTAGGGTATATAGTCTTTTAACTTAAAACTTCAAAATATGTCAGTAAATAGGCATTTTACAAAAAAATGTTGAAAGTAAAAATGAAATGATTCAAGGGGGGTAATAAATTAGTACCAAGATTATTCCCCATATTCTTATACTTATTTTTTAAAAGGATCTTATTTTTACAAACCTTTTTGTAGACCCCGTAACATAAGTATTTGTTGGAAATTGGGATTTTATCATTTGTAATAAAAAAAATTGAATACAATTATTTAAAATTTTTATTTTATCCCATAGTGCAAAAGTGGAGATAGTCTTTGGGAACGACTCTTTCCATTGATTTTCCTCATTGCATAGTCGGGCTTGTTTTACGTCTTTTTTAATGCACCCGAACAAATTTATGAGCCCGACATTGACAAAATAATAAATAGCAGGTATTCAGAAAATTGTACACTACCAATTAAAATTTGAATGCCCTGAAAAAATTTAAATTCTGTGCAATACTGTTTCTACAACATTTTGTTTGCTGAATATTATTTTTTAAACAATGCCCTTTTTACAAAATTTTGGTGTATACACATATACAGTATACTGATAATTATATTGTACCAAATTTCTTTATAATTTTATGATTTCAGAATGGTGTGTTATTTAATTCTGTGTATGTTATTTTTGTGTTCATTTATGTAGGTACCTATGTGTAAATTGTTTTGTTTAGGAAATTGAT